ATACCTGGGGCCCATGGAGGTAGAAAAAAGGAAATCTAAGTGATGTACAACAGAAAGCTTATTATACCCTCCCAATCTTTAACAGTTAGCCAGATAACATCTGTAACAATCAATGAATATAAAGAAATAAAAATATATGTAGAGGGGTTAACAGGTTAATATATAGGGATGTAAACAGGAAACAGATCCTCTCTAGAATGACCACAAACTGAACAGGAAGCTATGTATAGCAATCCTGTGGCTCTTTTACACTCGTAACTTCATCTTTCCTGCAAATATTTTGTTAGAATATGAACTAGCGTCACTTTTGCAAGTACACTGTGCTGAATTTAACCATGGAGCTACATGCTATTTACTGCATTTTGCTATTAAAAATAAATGCTTCATAAATAAGGTTAAAGACAGTTTGTTAGGTTAACCAGACTGACGTCTGGCAACTGTTAATGTCAGATATAAGGAGCAATCAAAAAGTTGTGACTCCAAAAAATAGTAAGAAATGTACCTGATTTAAATTTGGTCGACATCTCCTTTGAGGTCTTACAGAAATGGTGCCATTTTCAGATACACCATTCAAAGTTGAGTCTTGACTATTTGCATGTCTGTGATTTCACCACAAACCTCAAAATATGGTGGAGCTGGCTCCCAATCTACACCCCATCTTTGTGTCTGCTTTGTCCAGGCCTGAAGGCTAAGCCTATCTGCCCTAATTTCTTCATAAGGCTTAATTGTCTTTACCCAAAATAGAAATAAGTTTTCTATTTTGATACAGCAGAAGTGATCCAGTGCACATTACAGATGCATAAGCCCAAGTAATACGAATGAGCCTTCCTCTATCTTAAAACAGCAGCATCAAACTGAATGTACATTCCCAAACAGGTTGGGGATGCACATGAACATAACTGTAATTTTGCATCTTAAGCAAAGATAATGATGTGCTTTACTATTTGATTCACTTTTTGAGCTTTTCTAAAAATGTTAATTCAAAAATGCATGGATTCAAACATTAATTATATTTTAGCATTAAAAATATCATTTTGATTAAAGAGCCTGTGCATACCTGTGGATTAACCATTATAGAAACATGCAATTTATTTGGTAATTATCTGTATTGTTAATTAATTTATAAGTTTAGTTTATTAATTTACCTCCTGCAGGACCTGACATCCACATATGTGGACATCACATGGGTTTGTCTAGCCCAAAATACTAAATTCTGCTCAACAAGGGCCTGATATCCCTTACGAGCAATGTTCCCTCTAATTTTTCATGTGTCTGAGCGAACACACAAACTCCCTGAGCGGTCCCTTGGACCACTGTGAGCAACATTAGACGTGTGCACTGTGGTCACGCCAGCATCAGATCCATCCAAGTTACATGGTTTATTAAAATAATCAAATTACAGCATTTACATTTATGTTAGACTATTTTTTAATTAACTGCTTTAGCCCACTTACAATGAAATTTTTAAAAAGTCTTGTTCATGACTTGTGTCGTATGTTAACACTATTGCAAGTAAAAAATAACTTGAACTCCTTTTTTTTAAATAAAGCTCTGACTTGTATTACGAGTATGAGTCTGTGGTCTGTGAGAGAGTCTGTAACTGCAAAATACAGAATATAATGACCAATGTTGGGCAATTAATTATATAGTTACTTCTTCAAAAAAGTAACTGAGCTTTGCAAACAACAAAGTTTTTTGCAGCTGTTTACCTACAAATGCAGCCAAGGCAGTTTTTAAATAAACATTTCAAACTATTTACAGAACAATCAGCTGTTCTGCATCAAATCTGATGCCACACAAATTATTTGTGCCACTCCAAAAATTTATTTCTGTCCACTATGAGATGAAGGAGAACAACAGCCTGATACCTGCAGGCCTGACAGCAGGAGATGCATCACACCTGTAACACCTGTAACATTCAGCAGTCGCCTCATTGTTCTGACACACACAACAAAACTATTGACTACACTACACACTAACTACACAAGACAACACACTAACTTTAGACTCCAAACATGCTAAATGTCGCAAATCTCACACATCTCAAAACACCGCCGTAACTTCCCTCTTCCTAAACAACTAAATGCCATGTTGCCATATCATTTTTTGATTGGTCGACATGGTGCATTTTTCCACCAATAGGAAAGGCTGGGGGTTTTTGGTTTTGTTTTTGCTCACAGGCTGAGTGCTTTCGAGTGCTCTCCTTATAAAACGTCGTTTTACCGTTTCTCCACACAGTAAATACAAACAATGATAGTATTCAGGGAAAAAAACAAACATTGCAAACGTGGCTTCACTCCACATCAGCCGCTTTCCTAGTTAAAACACCGGTGTCGACACATAAGGACGCTGTCATAGCCTGATTAGCTGCATATATACCAATGTGAATCGCATCATTGGCTGGAGCAGCCAGTCACCAGTCACTTACTGACTCACACTTCAAAACAGAATGAATTGTTAACGTATTTATTTTAATTTCAATACAGGTTAGATTTTTTGTGCGCATGCAAAACATTCTGCCACTGCTCTATCGAAAATTAAAACAAATGCCCTCATATGTGGATATCCGGCCCTTGTAGAGCAAAATCAGGTAAAAGATAATTCTTTGTTTTTACATTCATCAGGTCCCAATCAGCCCAAATAGCAAAGAGAAATTAAAAATACATGCCACGAAAGACTTTGGGTCTTTTGAGGGTAAATTAATACATTAATACGTTTATTTTTATGATAAATGTATTAATTTATGAATTTTTCTAAGACACATTTAATCACTCTATTATACGGGCTCATTAATATTTGACTCATTTTATAAACCAAAGTACTATTGGACTACATTTCATTTTATTTTCTTGATAATGAAAGGGCATCCTCCTTGTACAACCTTAACACAAACAGATAATGACTTCACAAATTGTATTTTATGTAGATCCTATGACTTAGTACCAAATAGTTTTTGACAGCATCCTGTGCTTTCATGAGGAAGTATAGATGGATGAAAGAAGAAAATGGTATAAAAGTTTCTCAGATATATATATTCACAGTATAGGTTTGAGTCATCTGCAAATAAGTCCAAACTATTCATTACTATCACAAAAGACAGATCATCGCTAAAACAGGGACAAATCAATGAACGAAAAACCAACAAACAACACACTGCACTACAGTGAGGCTGCATGGCTATGTTATACTGTGAGGTGCATTTTGGATCCACTTGTCCCAAATATTTCTATCCTGACATAAGCAATCTCTGCCAGGATAACAATGACAACAACTGAATGGCTTGATGAGTATAAAAATAATGTCAATTAGATGTTACTGTCTATGCAGTGACCAAGCCATAACCCACCTCAATGAGAGATTTTGGATCAGTGTATTAGACTAGGCTCTTTATCACCACAATCATCATTAGAAGTACCAAATGAGGTACTTTTGGAAGAAAGGTGTTCCGTTACTCCATCTGATTTTTCTAAATGTGAAGTGCACTGAAGGTGGTTTGAAGGGTTTAAAGGTTCTGAAGGGTTTATTTGAAAATGGCACCATTTCTGTAGTTTCACACAAAAAAGACCTCAAGAAGGGGTTTCTTTCCATTTGTCACCCATCTATAGCCCGAGGTACGAAGTACCCTCCGGATATTTGCTCAGCATGTAGCCTTTGAAAGAGACCTGTAAGAGCTCAGCCAAATTATGCACATCTATTTTCAATTGTGGCTGCGCGGTGGGCGCCAGGGGGGAGCCTAGATACATAGCGATTCCTATCACTTGGCAAGAACATTTAGATCCATACCTATGTACTGAACACAGGAGGCAAAATGCCTGATCTGTATCTGCCAGTCCAAAACATACATCCAAAACTCTATCATGCCTTGACTAGTCAATACAAAACCTAAGATTTAGTCAGACAGAGAGAGATAGAAACTTAGCCTGAGGAAGCAGAAGAGGAAACACGAGGCAGAAAGTCCAGAGAGAGAGAGTCTAGTGTTTGTTGCACACCAATGAGAGTCGTTGCTCAGCTGAAGCAAAAACACCTTTTGCCTGCTTTAGTGTGCTTCAAGAACAGTGCCTGCTGGTCTACGTGCAATAGCAAAAAACGACACGAGCAGCACCACTTCAGAATTATCACACACTCTGCATATGCTACTAAAAAAGTCACCTGGGTCGAAATAACACTCAGCCACAAAGAGACGCAAAACAAAACCCCAAAAATAGAATCTGCTGCTTCCATGTCTTAAACCTCATCTACTATTACAATGTTTCTGCTATTAAGGACTTGTTAAAGCCATAAAACTGCATTCTGTATGAGTCAGTGACAAATTAGAAGTCAAACGAGTCATTCTGCTCAGCATGATGAGCACACTATGTCCCTGAAGCCACAGTGCACACTCATAGAGGCAGACAAGGAAAAGTGCATTGCGTGAATGCATGTTTGTGTACACGTACATTCAATTCAATTTATTTATATAGCACCAAATCACAACAACAGTTGCCTCAAGGCACTTTATATGTACATGCACACAAATGCACTCAGTGCAGTTGGGAAGATTTCAGAAAACGTGGGATGCCTAACTAATCAGGTGCAAGACAATGGCTTAAAAACAGAGGCAGTTTTCATGGTGCTCAGGTCTTGCGTGTGCCAAGTTGGACCCTCACGCGAAGAAACTTGAACCTGTATTGGCAAATATAGATAAAACAATAACTGGAATAGATGGGGAGCTCTGATTTGTTGAGAGGGAGAAAAGTCCCGGGAAAGGAGAGATGAGAGGCAGAGGGGCTGACAATGTGTGGAGACACTTGTGGGAGTGAGACACCAGATGACCACAGCTGGTATTGCCAGCCACTGCTTCGGCAGTCCACTGACAGTGAGAACACAGGTTAAATATAAACTCTGTAATCCCCCCAACAAAAGGGCACTTAATGAGTCTGCCTGAAGGGCAGGGTGGGAGCTACAGAGAGTGAGGTGGAAACAGGAATGCAGCTGGCATTTGTTCAACATTATACCACAACTACTCGGAGCGGGTCGGTCGCGCACTGAACAGAACCGCTTTCGTCCTCTCAATGACAAATATCTCGCTCTATTTCTCTGTCCAACTGGTTTCCCTGGCATGGGCCAGGGATCTGTCCTCACGCTGAACCTCCCAGGAACACGCTTGCCAAACTGGGCTCACAGCAACTAAGCAGAAAAAAATTAAGATGGTGGGGAGATTATCGCCAATCTCGGGATTAAAACTCGTCACACCTTCCATGACTGAGAGATGATGACCGACTGCTAAGTGGCAGCCATAAACAGGAACGATAGCCCAGCTTGAAACGAGTAAGCGCCTAAATTATTCAAGAAGGTCAAAGAAGCACTGGTGGTTCTAGGACTCAGCCATTCTTAGATATGTGGGCCTAGCAGCAGCACAGTGTCGCTTTCTCTCTATAACGACACCATTTAGTGTCAAGCGTCTATTTCACCCTGTGCTGGTGAAAAGCTGTGGACTACGCTATGCTTTACACCTTGAGGCAATAGGGCAGCGTTTCAAAGGTTTTCTGACACAGTGTAATACTAATACTCTGTGACTCTCATTAAAACAATCCTACAAATGCTTGCTGGGCAGGTAGCTTCACTGCGGTGACAACAGCCTAATAGAAGTAAGGTATGTGAGATGTCTCCATAACAACTCAAAGTGTAAAGCCTTATGCATGTAAAGCTAATTTTGGCTGCTCCTTTATTCACTGCCACAGCAGGTAGTGCCACATACCTTATTTGGCAATTTTTTAATGCCGGATGCCCTTCCTGATGCAACCCCAAAAGAGATTAGTGTCTCCTCCAAAGACTGAACCAGTAAGCTTTTGATTATTAGGCAAATGTGTAAATTTCTACAGTGTGCATACAAATGATGAAAACTGCCCAAACAAGTTAAATCAGGTCATAAATATAGATCCCATATTTAAAGCTCACAGCTAGCTCTACCGCAGGAAACACTCCATCGGATATGTGTGTAACAAGATCCTCCAGATCAGAGGTTTGCCAAATTAACAGGAGCTGAGTGACAGTGAGATTAACTTCGAAAAACCGCATGCGTTTAAGGAATCTCTGTATGAGACGTCAGGCAAACCGAATGAGCATCACAAGGGTAAGGCTTGTGAGAAATGCCTCTGATGTAATCAAAAACTGGAATAGAAAGGTTACGCACTGTGGTTTTTATGCAAAAGCTATAAATGACCTTTAAAGGGTTACTAAAGCTGTTTGAATATAGTTCCAAACAAATAACAGTTCAAGCAAAGCTAGTTCCAAAAAAGTAGCATGTCACAAGTTGTCTGGCAGGATATACCAGAATCATTCAACTTACCATTTTTAAAAAATATATTTTTACTTGACCTGTTACTTTGCATAAACAGCCTCTGCACATGATCTCACTCAGGTCCTAGTCATTTTGCAGAGACTTTTCACATTTTCGGCTTTCTGTGGACAGAAAGTAGAACACAGCAGCCAAGTGTAATGTGCATTTCAAGCACATAATACAAGCAATGGTCCTGAAACACATAGTACAGACTACAAACCCATAGCAGTGGAACCCTGAAGACATGGGACAAAGATGTAAGAGTAGAAACTAAATACAGATTAAATGATTAATTATTGTGCAGTAAATCTGACTGGGGGGAAAGAAAAAAGAAAGTTTAAACATGTCTGGGTCAAGCGTGCACGCAAGCACTGTGGGAGATGAAAACGAGAAGTCTCTGTGAAATGTATGGCTCCGAAATTTATTTTCAGTCCGATGACAGCTTGTCATCATCCATGCAACCACCTGACTGCAGTTTCCAGAGGCACTATCCAGCTCAGGGGAGGCCAGCCATCCCAGCCAATGTCCCCACTCAGGCAGGGGAATCCCTGTATCATGTTTTAGATGCGGCTTACAACGATACCTAAGCTTTTAGTGAGTCCTCAGAGGTTTCCAGAGGTAATGTAAGGTGATGTAAAGAAGTCCATGCTCATAGGCATAACGTGAATGGGAGGATACCAAAAACAGAAGAAGAAGAAAATATATAGTCTAAGCAGACCTGAAGAATTAGTTGTTAAAAGCAAACAAAAGGCAAGCATAATAGAAATACTCGTTAGAAAGTAGTGAAACTTTCAATGTGTGACTGATTTATTGGACTATAACAGAGAAACAGTAAATGTATCTAAAGTGTAAAACTGCACAATTGTTTTTTTATTAATCATTATTTGCAGCCCTATTTTATATGGAAGAGGATTAGGGCCACCGAAAAAAAAAAGTGGGCACGTCTTTTTTTTTCTTCTTTTCCATTCTGAGAAAAAAGTCAGAATTGTGACTTTACCCACTCCATGACATGCTGGTCAGTCACAGGAGCACGTTCAGCGAGAGACTGAGATTACCAAAAAGCACCACTGAATGACACAGGAAATCATTCCTGCCTGTGGCCATCTCTCTGTACAACTCATCCACTTAACACACTGTATACTGCAATAGCTACACCCTTTTTGCACATGCTCTTCTTTCTTATTCAGCTATTTATCAATAAGTGACTTATATGTGTATAGATAAATATGCATGTATATATTGTATATATTGTGTCTATTTCTTACTTAGTGTATTGTCTGTCTTTGTTACTGTTTATACTGGAGCACTGTAACCAAAATAATTTCCCCTAGGGATCAATAAAGTATTCTGATTCTGATTTAATCTCAGAATTCTGACTTTTTTCTCAGAATTCTGGTAAAGAAGGAAAAAAAAGACGTGCCCACTTTTTTATTCCAGTGGCCCTAATCCTCTTCTGTAATTTTATACAGCTGGCACATGAGGAATGCTAGGTTGCTATTTTACTTGCTATATTTCCTGTTTTATATGTTTAAGATATATTCAGATTTAAGATAGGATAACACACTTAAGGCCAGAAGAAACCGAATGCAATACCTGACTCTAAGTCAAAATATTTTGCAAACTTAATATTAAAATGTAATTTTTAAATAACAGTCAATAGACATTTTGTTTACCAGCCAAAAACACACTTTAAATCTTAGCTGAAAAAACAACAATAAAGTGCTTTTTCACTGCTTTGGCTATGTCACTGTGGTGTTTGTACTTGTGTGGGCTGTTTTATTCACTACAAAACAATTCACAGTGCTGCAAAAAAGTATTTCACCCCTTCCTGATTTCTTACCGTTTGTGTACATTTGTCCTACTTAAATGTTTCAGATCATCAAACAAAAATATAGTCAGAAATTTGCTGCTGCCCGATGACTCATCCAGGATGAGTAACTGATGGAACCATGAATTCTGCTCTCTGCCAGAAAATCCTGAAGGAGAATGTGCGGCCATCTGTTCATAACCAGAAGCTTTAGTGAACAGCAGGACAGTGATCTGAAACACACCAGCAAGTCCACCTCGGAAATATAACAAATGTAAGTTTTTGAAGTGGTCTAGTTAAAGTCTGGACTGAAATCAGATTGAGAGGCTTTGACTGTAAACTGTGGAGAACCAGAAGACTCACACACATCCCCCCAATAATAAGAATAAGAATAAGAATAAGAATAAGAATAAGAATAAGAATAAG